CTATTAGAGCCTGGTTTCGATCCTGAGACCTCTGTGTTACGGACCCACCACGCTTTCGTTGCGGCACTTTGATGATTGTTGCCTTTAATTCAATTGTTAGGTTTAACTCTTTATGAATGTAGTAATATAGATGGAAAAATGTGTTTTATAGTTTGAACATTTTGTAAACTGTAAAATAGTGAATATATATATATATATATATATATATGTGTGAGTGTATGTTCCTTTTTTTTTTTTTGCCTACTTAGGTGACTATACCCTGTTGATTAGAAGCAATTGGTGGATTAGAAAGGCCTGATTGATCTTGTTGCTAATACAAGAATAGTGAAGAAACAGTTTATTCAGCTAATAAATTTTCATGCATTCAGGCTTCAGCTTATGGAAATGGGTTGTTAATTTATAGAACTCTTTGTTAATACACTTATATGTTCTAATGCATGAAAATTAAGCAAGAATTCTATGGATTAATGAGCCATTTCCATTTGAGGCAATAAGCTGTTTGGGTTTGACTGACGTAAGCTTCTTCGTTGCCTGTGCATCACTTTTAGCTATTCAGTGACCGTAATTTGAAAAATATATTTTCTCTCTTTTTTTTTTTCCCCCCATAAATAGCTTCCTTAACTATCTGACTTCAATCCTCTTGTAGGAAGTGCCACACCATCTGGTAGACATATTGGATCCATTTGAAGGTATGTTTCTGGTAACATCAGATAATGTCAATAAACCATGTTATGCATTCTGTTTATTGTAGACATTGTTCACCTTTCTAAGTTTCTGAAAGTTTCATTTTTCAATATTAAAAACTGAGTTTTATTCTTTTTATTAGTTCAGACTATTCTGTAGGACAATTTTTTGAGGATGCCAGGCAAGCAACAAGAGATGTTCTTGACGGTGGCCATGTTCCTATAGTCACAGGTGGAACTGGCTTGTATTTACGATGGTATGTTCCTAGATATACTTTTGCCTAGGTGAGCTTTGTTAAGTTGCTGTACTTCATCTTTTTCTTCAATATAACTTCCTGACCTCTATAAACTAACCTCTTTGCAACAAAGTCTGCATTTTCTCTTTGATTCTCCTGGCTTCCTCAATTGGGTACTGTTGCTTCATATTGTGCTTTAAATACTTTGTGAAGTGCATTTTCTCTTATGGTAATACTTCTTGTGGTTTTATAGGCTGGCCTGGCATGTTCTGGTTGAATTTTCTTTCTCATGAGTTATTGTAAAACAACATATATGGAGTTGTTTGCCATGATATCTCTTCTTTTTGCTATTAGGTTTGTATATGGAAAACCAGATGTTCCAAAAGCTTCTACAGAAATTGCAGCTAAAGTACATGCAGAGATAGCAGATTTTGAGAGAGATGGGGAATGGGATGCTGCTGTGGAAATGGTGGTTAAGGCAGGAGATCCAAAAGCTAGGTCATTGCCTGTCAACAACTGGTATCGATTGCGTCGCAGCCTTGAGATAATCAAGGTCAGTAATAGTGGTTTAAAGGTCTTTTATCCTTGCAGCCATTCGCAATCCCATCCCTTTGAGTACAGAGATGCATGGTGATGTTTGCATATAGGCCATATCATGTATGTTGCTTTGGGAAAAAATTTGTTTAAAAATAAACTTGTTATTTTATTTTTTGTTCTCTGAAACATCCTAATTTTGTCTTGTAGTTCAGTGAGTTAAATATTGCGATGAGGTTTTCTTCTGTTTGACTCACATATGAAGGGTGATAGCTCAGACATCTCCATCATATGTGCTCACGTTTCTTTATTGTATTTCTTGGTATGGCAGTCTACTGGATCACCTCCATCTGCCTTTCATATACCATATGATTCTTTCAAACAAAAATTTGATTCAAGTGGAACAAATGATTCTCACAACTTGAACCCTTCTCGTGTTGTACCTGAGCAAGTTACCGCAAAGGAATTGGACTATGAGTTCATTTGTTTCTTCCTCTCAAGCCCCAGACTTGATCTGTATAGATTAATTGACTTAAGGTGTGAAGAAATGCTTACAGGTAACCTGAGACTTAATTGTATAGCTTGTGAGCTCTTTTAACATAACATTTACAACTATGATTATTGACCCTACCATCACATGTAAATTTTTATGATTGCATTTGTTACTAGTCTTATATTTCATGTGGGCCATGTTTGTATTTTGATTGCAGTAGGAACAGATGGGATCTTGTCTGAAGCTAGATGGCTTCTTGATCTTGGGCTTAGTCCAAATTCAAACTCAGCAACCCGAGCAATTGGTTACAGACATGTATGTCTTTGTTAACCTTATTGCTTCCTCTTCATTATGTATCAATCTCCAGGATATGCAAACAATGGCTAGCTTCAAAATTCATTTCTTGATCCCCCAGAATGCTTATCTTTGTGAAGTGCTTCAGTTTCTTTGTTTGAGTCAATTCCCTTATAAAGTAAATACTCAAATACTCTTTTAAGGCCATTATAAAGTTCTTCTGAATTACCTTAGTTATGATCATATGAAACAACAATTTGGGAAATGTTAAAAACAAAAGCCCTATAAATGCACCACATCATCTTGAGAGAACACATGTTCTTAATTTCTACATCTAGTTAGATAATTTATTGACACTTTTGTCAACGTCCATAGTTCCTTGTATATTCTTCTACTCAACAGAATGCTAGTGCTTCAGATTTCCATAGTCCTGATTTTTGACATTGCATGACTCTGTTTAAGGATACTAAATGAGGTTTTAGAAATATCTTTTGTGGCCGTGATTCAAGGAAGGAAAAAATGATGATAAGTTAGAAATATCTTTTGTGGCCGCGATTCAAGGAAGGAGAAAACGATGATAAGTAAAACTGTAAGAGGGTTGAATAAGTTTTATCACATATTCGTATTAGATTTGATATCATTAATGTTCTGGTTAGAGATCAGCTAAGAAACATGACAGATATGGGAGATAATTTGAATAATTAACATAGGATAGGTCATTTTATAAAGTCTGAACACATTGCTTCTTGTTGCTGAGCAGAGGTCACTGAAATCATGGAAATTTGTAAATAGAACTTTGTGTAGTTTGGTGCTACAGAATGCTGTTTGGGACTAATTTCAAATATGCATTTCTAGATGAGTTTTTGTCTCCTCTTCAACTGCTTATCATAACACCGTTATATTTTTAGCCCTGTCAGTCTAACTTCTTCGGGAAGTTCTAATTCAGTTCCCAGATTTAAATGCTGACTGTGGTAATTAATGCAATTGAATGCAATTGATGAATTAAGTAAAGACCAGTGTTCCAGAAGGCGTTGGGCCACTGCCTAACGCCAAGGCAGTGCTTGTCATGGCATAAGACCTAAGTGCTGCTAAGTGCTCCAGACGTTTTTATTTTTCAGCAAAAAATGCCAAAATAGAACAGAAAATCTAAAAGGTAGAAACAATGCCTAGCTCCACTGCCTAGGGCCTAGGCAAGGTGGTGGAGTGCCACCTAGTGCTTAGGTGCTGCCTAGGCAAGTCTTTTTGCAACACTGCTAAAAACTTCAGTACTGTTACTCTCTCTCTTCTCTTCCTACTGGGGTATGCATCTAACTTGTTTAGTTCTTCACTAGATTTTGCCCTTTTTTCTCTCATATGTTGTTTTTCTTTTTCAGTTTTTGAGCAGCAAAAGGGACTCATTTGATTTTAATGGTCTGTTGATTTCAGGCTATGGAATACCTGGTAAGATGTAGGGAACAAAGGGGTGAAAGCTCAACAAGAGAGTTCCATGCTTTTTTATCAGAGTTTCAGAAGGCTTCTAGGTATTTTTCTTCCAATTGGCAACTCAATCCCATTGAACTATATCTGGACAAGTTAAAGTGGCTATTTGATCTTTTCTGATGCTGAATCCCATTGTACTAATTTAACTAGTCTGATTTTCACTATTGTACTTGATTCAAACAACACTTGACACACACTCCCCAAACATCTCTAGTACTATATTTGCATGTGGACTGTCAAATCATCTAAGCTGTTTTTATCTTAATTTAGTCTTAGTTGGTTCAACTTGTATTTCCTTATAAATAATCTTATTTATTAGTCTTTCTGTTCTTAAATGACTAAACAACCCTACATTTAAGCTAACATTTATTTTATTAACATGAATGTTGCCTTTTCAATTTTCCTACACCTGGTACCAATAAAGATTGCTGGCTTTCCGTTCAACAAAATTTCCTTTTCAACTTGATGCATATTTTGCAGTCAAATAGTTCTCATGGAACTTATATCCCATGCAATTTCCTACGGTCCAGGTTGAATATCCCATTTATGTTCTCAGTTTGTATGATTAATTGAGTCTAGTTACTGAACACTCTCTATTAAGAAATTCCTCATCGTCAGTTTTGACTACTAGATGTCTTACTAAGAAGCTTTACTGAATTTGTGCATCAATTAAAATGTGTTTAGTTTTGGTCCCACTTGGCCTAAAATATTGTAATGTGTTTATTTTTAAGTTCTAGTGTAGAATTCACCTACCAAAAAGATAAAGAGCTCAGCTGAGTTGCTACCCACTAATTATGGGGTTGTAGTTTATGGGGTTAAGGTCAGGGAGTTCATATGTTGAGAACATTTTGGCTTGTCTTGTCTTCTTAAGAAGTCCATTAAATTTTGAAACATGGGTTAAACAAGAGTTAATCAAGAAAAGACTAGAGGTAAAGATAAATTCAGCTTTTGGAATTTTGTTATGCAGGAATTTTGCGAAAAGGCAACTTACATGGTTTCGTAATGAGGAAATCTATCACTGGCTCAATGCTTCTAGACCCCTGGTATGTCTCGTGGTTTGTTGCATTGCATTGTATTAATGGCAAAAGTCTTACGTCCTGTGTGCTTATTCATGGTGCTGACTAGATAGACAGCCTATATTTCCACTTGGATGCTGGGGAGGTGGGGGTGGGGGGGTGGCGTGGGGTGGGGTGTGGGCGAGTTTGGGAGGCAATAGCACATGGTTTCCAATCTTTTTTCTTTATTCTGCAATTCATTCATGAAACAAATTGATGTTCTGCAGTATGCTATCATA